CTGGGCTGAGGGGATCCCCCCTCCCCTCATGCATGAATTTCATGCACTGTGCCTGTAGTATATACATAAAAGCTTAAGTGACTGTTATAACCTAATGACCAGAATGACCAGTTGACCAGTTGCTATGACATTCACTGACCACCAGGGGGAAAACACTCAATGCAGAAGCCACCCCCAGTGGTCAGTGTGCTCCCACAGTCAACCTCCCATGGTCCATCCCCCTGGCTGGTCCCTCCTCTTGGCCAGAAGTCCCCGATTGGCCCAGCCCTGATCGGGACTGGGCAAGATGCCCTGATTGGCCCTGATCTCTGGCCAGGCCTAGGGACCCCATCCATGCATGAACTTGTGTACCAGGTCTCTAGTATCATTAATAATGACAGTCATCATTGCTAACATTTACTTAGCACTTCTGGCATGCAAGAAACAGTTTCTATCAATGAACTCTCCGTAACTTGTCCAGGTCACACAGCTAATAAGTGGTGTTCTTCAGAACAAGAGCCACAATAACAACATCAATAGCCACCACTGATTATGCTTTCATTCTGTTCTAGGCACTTTGTATGTGTTATCTCAGTTAATCCTCACCAGGCCTCCCAGAAAATAATTCTATTTTATTCTCTGGTAGTTTCAATGTGATAGTGCTAAGAAATGGAACTGAAAATCAGATGTTCTAGTTGCCATTTTCCCCTGACAGTTCCCAATAAAACTCAGGTTATTTTTACCCATGTTGGGTAAACCAGGACTTTAGAGTATCCCAGCCTCTTGATATAAAAACCCAGGATGAAAGGGAAGTTACAGAAAAGAGAAGTGACATATTTCAGTGGCACATTTTAGTTTCCAGCCCCTAATGTAAGCAAGATTTCTGGAAAACATTGTGGAAAACATAGTCTACCTCGTTTTGTACTTCTTCATTTACTTAATTCCCAAAACGTTCATTGAGTACTTTTATGTCTAACACTTATATGCTAGACACAGAGAATACAAAGAGCAATAATGTGTATTCCCTATTTTAAAGAGCATATAGTCAGTGAGTAAACTGAGATGCAAATAAGCATAACTATTGTGCAACATGATCAATACTGTGTGTGAATGAAGAAAGGCTATAGGACCACAGGGAGCAACTCTATTCTCTGTGCTTGGTTATGGACAGCAGGGTAACAGTTGGTAAGGATTCTGGTGAGGATTCAGTAAGAGAAAGGCCCTCCAGATCAAGGAGGGCCTGTCAACCAGAACAAGATTACAGGTATTCAGGAGAAGCATGAGTATGGTGGTAGGGCTGAGCTGGAAGGGCAATGAGAGGAGTCACCAGTGATGAGATTGGCAGGCATCCGGTGAGATTATAAAAGGCATAGGGGCAAAACTAAGGAGTTTAGAATATAATTTGTGCAGAAAAATCTACCTATACAGGAAGTTTAGGCAAGGCAATGCTACTTTTATATTTTCCATTCAAACTATTCTATTTAGAGCATGTATTGGGAGAACAATAGAAGTCAGCACATAAAATATAGTTGTATTAATTTTTCTACCCTATAAACTTAAAAAAAAAAACAACACCTCCTTGTGATGCAAAAATAATAGTATTTCATTTCATTTTCTTCTTTCTTTGGTGGTGTTTATATGGTTTTTATCTTGCTACCTCTTTTATAAACTTTTCAAGGAGGGCCATGTCACTTAGCTTTTCCTTCATTATTAATGAAATATTTACACTATAAAGAAATGTAGGAAAAAAGGGAAAAATTCACCCAGAGTGCCACAATATAAACCTAGCCATCCTATATAATAAAGAGGTAATATGCAAATTGATTGTTGCTCCAACACAAGATGGCCATCCTCATGTGGTCAAAGATGGCTGCCCCCATGTGGACACAAGATGATGGCCGCCTCAAGATGGCGAGCAGGACAAGGCAGTTGGGAGGGACCAGGCCTGCAGGGGAGGGCAGTTGGGGGTGACCAGGCCTGCAGGGGAGGGGAGTTGAGGGCAATTGGGCCGGCAGGGGAGCAGTTAGGCATTGATGAGGCTGGCAGGAGAGTGGTTAGAGGGTGATCAGGCTGGCAGGCAGAAGTGATTAGGGGCAATCAGGCAGGCAGGCAACAGTTGGGACCCAGCAGTCCTGGATTGTAAGAGGGATGTCCTACTGCCCATTTAGGCCCCATCCCACTGAGCCTAAACAGGCAATCGGACGTTGGGATCGGGGCTAAACAGGCAGTCGGACATCCCTTGTGAGATCCCAGATTGGAGAGGGTGCAGGCTGGGCTGAAGGACACCCCCGCCCCCCCCAGCATGAATTTTGTGCACTGGGCCTCTAGCCTATATATATATATATATATATATATATATATATATATATATATATATATACACACACACACACACACATACATACATACATATATACATATACATATACACACACATTCATATATATATATATATATATATATATATATCCTAATATGCAAATAGACTGAATTGTGGAACAACTGAACAACCGGTCGCTATGTCGCTATGACATGTACCAATCACCAGGGGGCGTGCACAGAACATGGTGGGTATTATTAATAGGCGGCAGAGCACAGAACATGATGGGCATAGGCCCCAGTGGGATGGTGGAGCAGGCGAATGGGGCATTAGACCAAAGGCAGGTGCCAGTTGCTGTCATCGGGGCAAACCTCTGGTGGTTACTGAAAATTCTTTACTTCCATGCGCCGTGGTCCTGCCTGGCACTCGCACCTGCTGCTGGCGCTGACCCCACTCGTACCTGCAGCTGACGCTGGAGCTGCTGTTCGCACCTGCTGCCAGCACCCAGCACTGGTCCCGATCACTTGGCGCCATCAGCAGGTGCAAGCAGCTCTGCCAATCCCAATCACCCCTGAGGGCTTCTCCACCTCCCTCTGCTCCTGTGGGGAGATCGGCACAGCAGCTGCAACTCACACCCACTGAAGGTGCTGGCCCCACTCACACCCACTGCTGGTGCTGGCCCCAATTTTTCCTCACCATTAGCGGGTGCAAGCAGCACTGGTGCCATTAGCCTGTGGGAGTGGTAGAGGGAGCAGGGCAGATAGGGGACCAGGTACTGCAGCAGGAAGGGCTGGGTTGGGGCACAGGGGGCACGGAGGATGGGCCAAGATCCTCCCCCCGTGTGCCCACCACAGTCTCGCGGCTCACAGTTCCTTTCCCGGTGCACAAATTCGTGAACTAGGCCCCTAGTTGATAATATTTTTATATAAAATAGATGTATTTTATGAAGTCAAAATCATGCTTTCTAGCTTGTCAATTGCCTTTATAAGAATATGCTACTGTAGCTATCTGCCTTCCTCAGTCATTAGTACAGGATGCCAGGAGAGTATTCTGTCTAAACTAGTTGCTCAATTATGGTATGCAATGACTCTGCCAATCTCTTTTTTCCTCATATTTTGTGTAAATGCTTTGATATATATATATATATCCTATTTTTCATATTAGTTTGATCCAATATAATTTTTGTCTTTGTTTTTTTACTTTTAAAAATTAACATTAAAATTTTTTTGAGATCATGTCGAGAAAGATAACTTGCAGCATACCTTTCATGGAATGTGATTTTATCTTCTGACCCCGATCCTGTGTCTACACAAGCAGTGAATTGCATGGTTGGATAATTGCTGGATGATTTTGAGATATGCAAGGGGGGAAAGGAAGGCTGAGGCCAAGAAGCTGGAAAAGCAATAAAAGCTGCTTGATTCGCTAAAAATGAGTCATTCATTTGACAAACTTAAAAATGATATTTTTATTGCCCTGATAATTGGACCTGCTCAGGCTGCTGAAATGACCCTCTGGGTTGTGTTCAGGTGCACTGCGTGGCTAGCAGTTGACCCATCAGCCTGCCCAACTCTGCTTCCTTTGCTATTGTTTGTTTTGTTATTGTTTTTCTTGAGCTATTTGGCCCACAGTTCTGGTTCTCTGCTATGGTTTCTTTTGAAGTAGTCAAATTATCTGTTACTTTCGGAAGATTCAACACGAAAGGGAAACTGAACCCTTATTTCTCTACCTTATAGATGGAGCCAACAGATAAGTTTTCATTTTTAAAAAGTCTACTCCCATGCTATGCTCCGGATCTACATTTGTTTTTAGATTTTAGATAATTTCTGGTGAAGATAAAGAGGCTTGGACTATCTTTTATTGAAATGTTATATTAGTGCCTCGAATTTCATCACTTGTAAATTAAGTTTAGATGTTTTTAAATGAATTCATATTTTTTTCTGCTAGTATATAATTTGCACTGAACTGGTTTGGGAAACAATGCCAAATGTTAGCTGTGTCTGCTTCTTAGTGGAATTAAGGTCAAAGATCCAAACAGATTGTTTTGCAAGGTATAGTGACCCAGGGACACCGCAGCCAACCCACCTGGGTTTGTACCCAGCTCTGCCTCTTACTAGCAGTGTGACCATGGGCAACTGACTCAGCTCTTTCCGAACCTCAGTTTCCCCTCTTTAAAAGGGAATAACAATAGTATCTATGTATCTGTCTTCTAGAGTAGTTAAAGATTAAATGAGTTAACATGCTGAAAACAATACCTGGCACATACGCTTAGCATGTGTTAATTGTTTTTTTTTAATCACTGTTATTATTCTGTTGGTGCTGATTGAATCCATGGAATAGAAGGTTTACATTCTCACTGTTTAAATGTAATTCTCTATTGCATGAAGTAGATTGGACACTATGGAGTCTTGGGTAGAAAATAAAGGCCTGAGAGTTCAAACCAGTAGGAGTTTTGCATATGTGTATGTAGAGACAAAGTGTTAACCTAATAACTTACATTTTTAAATATTACATATTATGTGCCTATTGTACCTTTTTAAGAGATGATCCTTTTTAAAACAAAAATACTGTTATTTAGTATATATAAGCAAATAATAAACATTATACAGTAAATATAGAGCACAGTCACTAACTGTTATGAATGTTACCTGTTATATTCTTATCTTTTAGAACTCTTCAACACCAAGTACATTTAATAAGAACCATGGCTTTGAAAGTGCTACTAGGACAAGAGAAAACATTTCTCACCATTGTGGCTTTACTAGCCTATTTGGTAAGTCAGCTCTACTGTCATAAGAATGTGGTGAGCCCTGGGTGTGTGGCTCAGTTGGTTGAGTGTCGTTCCATGTACCAAAAGGTAGCTGGTTTGATTCCAGGTCAGGCACATGCCCACGTTGCATGTTCAATCTCTCATTGGGGCACGTGCAGGAGCTGATTGATGCTTTGCTCTCTCACTCTTTTCCTCCCCCTGTCTCTTTAAAATAATAATAAATAATAATAATAATAAAAGAGAGTGGTGGAAAAATTTATATACATTGTACCAAAACTATTTTCTATGTCTGATTCCATATTTTGAAATTTACTTTCAAATTGCATTTTATAATTGTTACTTTTAACTAATAATTCAAAGATTGCTCCTGAATCTGGACATTTGTAACAATTGTCAAAATTATATTTTATTTGTTACTTGCAGCCCCATAATAGTTATTACTTTGGGGTTACAGGGATTCCCACAGCACCTAACAAGATCATAGTGTCTGATTTAGAGCCATGACTCACACAGTTTGTGAAGTATTTAGAATTGATTTTTTGAAAGTTCTGTTATTTTAATATAATTATTTATATCCTAGGTTCCAAAAAGCACTAAGGACAGATGGAGGATTTTCATGTTTGAAAGCTTGACACAAAAAATCTATGAAGGTGTTCAAAAGAACTGAAACTTATTTAGTTTGAAGATATAATTATGATCTACAACTATGAAAAGAATTATTTACACTGAAGACAGTATTCAGTCTTCTTGGAAGGCAAAATAAGAGGAAATGGGGTCCATTTAAAGTCTGAGATTCAGGCAGCTATAAGGAAAGCTTCCTTTCTTTCAGTTGAAATAATGAAACATTGGAACCAAGGAGGAGGCTAGGTAGTCTTTCTCAAAATCATTGCAGTTGCTATGCAGTGGGAGGGAATCTCTCACCTCTCTCAAATAAAACCAAACTCCTCTAAGATTGGTAGTCAAGGACAGTTAAGAGAGGCAGGAAGAGATTATTGGACAGTTAGCCCCAAATCATGTTGTAGGCCTAAATTCCACCATGAACTCTCCCTTCTGTCTGCTCAGAGTTCTGTCTTTGCTTTTATATAAGGAGGCTTGCAGATATCCTTACAGATTTTTCTGCTACAAAGTGGAGGTAATTTGTACTGAATACTTGCTCATTATTATAGCCATCAAAAACAATTCAATGTGCACTTGTGTGTGATAGGCTTTATCCATAACAGCAGCCACTGTTCTGCCAATACTTCCTAGAAGTATTTAGCTTTCATTTTGGAAAACAAAATTATAGTCAGGAATGTCATTGAGGGCATTTCTGCTAATGATAAAAGGTTGAAGTGAATGTTCTCACCAATCTGATATTCTATTATTTTGGACAATTTTTTTTACAAAACATTGTTAAGAAAGCAGAGTAACACAATTTTGTAGGGTTATAGTATATAAAATGAATATACTGTTTTCAGATAAAATAAGAAACAAGGCTATATTTTGAAAATTACAACCTTACGTTTTTGCCAAAATATATAATCTTCCTATTTAAGTCCTATGCTGAACCAAAGTATATCATTAGGTCCTATTTAAATGGTTAAATGGTAATTAGTAAGCATATAAGTTCATATTTACATAGTACTTTTAATTTGAATCATTCAGAGTGTTTGACTACCATTGTCATCCTCATCCTCATCAAGAGTTTTACTGATTTCAAGATTGTCAGAAGTTTTTGAAAGACAATCTCTAAATAAATGCAGTTCACATGAAAAGGTTGAAATTCTTACATCAAAAGTGGGTAGCAGATATGTTTAAAGATAATAGGATAAAGAATAATAGGATATGTGTAAAGGATAAAGGATAATTCCTGTAGCTATACTAATTTATTTCATTTATTTATTCAATTCATTATCCTTGAATATGCTTATATTTCTTGATAATCAAAAATATAGTTTTGGAAATCAGAATCTTTGAGATTGCAAAGGACCTTGGGTCTCTGCATGTCTGTTCTTTTACTAATAGACTAAAAAAAGAGAGCATCTCTTAAGTCATTTTTTATCTTGGGTCCTCAGAAATGTATCAGAGGAAGATAGCAGTTGATTCCAAGAAAAAGGGAACCTCACTCAGAGAATACAGAAAAGAATCAGACATAATAATTTATTTGTTCCACTTACATATTCAAAAGTGAAAATTAAATTGGCCTCACTCTGACTTAATGTTTACATTCAGTGATTATGGAATTATACTGATGATATTGTGTCTTCCTTGCAAAAAATGCAATTAACTTATTTTAATATAATGCTTTATGAAACTTTTTTTTTTTCAGGTATGTAAAGTGATTTGTGAAACAGGGGACTGTAGACAACAAGAATTCAAGGATCGGTTTGGAAATTGTGTTCTCTGCAAGCAGTGTGGACCAGGCATGGAGTTGTCTAAGGTATGGTATGCATGGTAAAGTTGTAGAACTGTGTTCTTTAAATGTAGTATTTTTAGCTAAATTCTTTTAGTTAATTACTAGTGAAGATGTGGACACCATGGCAGAATTCTTGGTTCATTGTGTCACTTTAGCTAAATAGAACACAATTTCCTCTTCAATACATTTGACTGTGCGTTTTACTGAGATAAAAGAAGTAGGTTATAATAACCAGAATTCAATAAATGTCATTGTTTTATATAACTTAGTGTTTATTATATTTTATTAAAAGGCTAGAATTATTAAAGCCTAGATTTTTAGTATTAATTAAAAAGAATTGATTGTCTACTAAAGATTTAAAAATAAAGCATTGATGCTCTGACGGGTTTGGCTCAGTAGAGATAGAGTGTTGGCCTGCGGACTGAAGGGTCCCAGGTTCGATTCTGGTCAAGGGCATGTACCGTGGTTGCAGGCACATCCCCAGTGAGGGGTGTGCAGGAGGCAGCTGGTCAATGTTTCTCTCTCATTGATGTTTCTAACTCTCAATCCCTCTTTCTTTCTCTCTGTAAAAAAAAAAAAAAAAAAAAAAAAAATCAATAAAATATATTTTAAAAATAAAGCCACTTTAAAAATATTACCACTTGATAACAGAAAGTGGTAATGCTCACATACTTAGACTTTTCTTTCTTAAAATGAATATTATCATCTGAGAATCTCAGAGGAAAGGTGGGGGTGGCTGGGTGGGAAGAGATCAACCAAAGAACTTGTATGCATATACAAGTTATTGGACACAGACAACAGGGTGGTGAAGGCCTGGGATGAGAGGTAGGCTAGAAGAGATCATTGTGGGGGATAGGAAAGGGGCATATGTAATACTTTCAACAATAAAGATTTAAAACAAAACCAAAACAATAAAAATAAATAAATTGCAATTACGGAAAAATAAATGAATGTTACCATTGCTAGTCAAGAAGTAGAGCTCAATGGTCTCTTAAGTAATGATGCTCCAAGAGAGTAGTTCTTTTCCAAACCAGGGTTTTGACATTTCTTTGACAATGCAAGTATTATCAATCTCCCCAGACTGAGTGTATGTTACTCCCAGGGTCATTTTAAAATATATTCATTTTAGCCGTTATTTGTTAAGAAACACTATGTGTGTATGCTAGCATATTTCCAAGTCATGGATATTCTTGGGGCTCTTCTTTTTTGAGAGCAGGTTCAGAAATATATATCTTTTTGCTTTATTTTCTGACCTTTTGAAGATGTTACTAGTTGTAGAGAATTGATGTATCACTTTTGTTGTTGTTCTAAATAAAGCATCAAAGTCTTCCTGTTAGAAAAGGAACAAAACTTTTTATTTTTATTTAAAGTTACTTTTAAAAAAGAAGTCACTTTTTGCCCCTACAGACTGCCATTATTTAAAGTTGAGTGCTGTCATTAATAGATTTTTTAAAAATATATTTTATTGATTTTTTACCGAGAGGAAGGGAGAGAGATTGAGAGTTAGAAACATTGATGAGAGAGAGTCATTGATCAGCTGCCTCTTGCATACCCCTCACTGGGGATGTGCCCGCAACCAAGGTACATGCCCTTGACCGGAATCAAACCCGGGACCTTTCAGTCCCCAAGCCGACGCTCTATCTATTGAGCCAAACCGGTTTCGGCCATTCATAGATTTTGATCAATGATCTACAAACAGCAGGACATTAAGATTTATACATTCCACAATAATTCCTGGTGCAGGGCCTCTCTCTGGTTGTGTTAAATAAGTGGTGGCTTTCCATATCCTGAGCTTTTCCTTTGGATTGAGACTGGCTGAGCTTCACCCCGCCATTGTGGCTCAGTGGTTAAGTTTTGACCTATGAACCAGTTGGTTACGGGTCAGGGTTTGTAGGCCCGATCCCCAATAGGAGGCATGCAGGAGGCAGCTGATCAATGATTTTTGTCATTGATGTTTCTATCTCCCTCTCCCTGCCCCTTCCTCAATTAAATCAATAAAAATATATTTTTTAAAAGAAAAAAACCGGCTGACCTTCAAACTCTGTGAGACATCTACTTAACTATAGCATCTCAGCTGATATATTTTAATCTATGGATTTTAGTAACATGCATTTTCAAACATAGATTTTGTTCTGTTGGTTATATAAATATTCTTTATAGAAGATCTGCATATCTAGGATCAGTGAACAAAGTAGTTAAAAATGCAATAGTGCTCAGGAAGAAAATAGACTATGATATTTCCACCCCTCAAAAGTTCCTCATTTCCCAAATCTCTGTGAAAATCTAAATGAAATTTTATAGATGCCAACTTGAATAAATGATTTCTAAGAAATGCTCCCTAACTTTCATCCTTTGAATCCAGAGACTATAACCTCAATATTATTTCTGGAGATTCAAACCAGAGGTTGAAGGTATTATCTGCTCTAATATTATTTATTTATTTATTTATTTATTTATTTATTTATTTATTAATATATTTTATTGATTTTTTACAGAGAGGAAGGGAGAGGGATAGAGAGCTAGAAACATCGATGAGCAAGAAACATCGACCAGCTGCCTCTCGCACACCCCCTAGTGGGGATTTGCCCCGCAATCAATGTACATGCCCTTGACCGGAATCGAACCTGGGGCCTTTCAGCAGACCGATGCTCTATCCACTGAGCCAAACCGGTTTTGGCTAATATTTTTTATTTTAAAAAATCTATCCCCTACACTAGCTGGTTTGGCTCAGTGAATAGAGCATCTACCTGCAGACTGAAAGGTCCTGAGTTCAAATCTGGTCAAGGGCACATGCCTGGATTGCAGGCTCGATCCCCAGTTGGGGGTGTGCAGAAGGCAGTGGATCAATGATTCTCTCTCATCATTGATGATTTTCTCCCTCTCCCTTCCTCTCTGAAATCAATTAAAAACTACATATAAAAAAAGTCAAGGGTAAAATTTCATCTTTTTATTAAGATAACTTTTTATTAATTGTCAGATGACTACATTTATAAATAATGAATTGCTTTTTACCTAATAAAAGAGTAATATTCAAATTAACCCCAACCAAGATGGCTGCAGCCACAGAGAGCAGTTAAGAAGCTTGGGTTTCCCAGGCAATGGAGGAAGCCAAGCTTTCCACACACCCTGGCTGGCCTAGGACTCCATTCAAGGATACAAAGTTTCAATTATAGAAGATAAATTTCAAGAAAAATATCAGCATCCACAGAGCTGGAGAGAACAGGCTAGGGTTGGCCCGGCAATGGAGGAAGGCAAGCTTTCCACCTGTCCTGGCTGGCCTGGGCCTCCACTCAAGGCTACAAAGTTTCAATTATAGAAGGTAAACCAATCCAAACAGAAATGACTGCCACCACAGAGCGAGCAGGAGGTGTGGCTCTGCTCCAGGCTACAAAGTTTCAATTGTAGAAAGTAAATATGTCCCAGATACCAGGGCCTCCGCTTGGGTCCCTGGGGGGCGTGGCCGGCCTGCAAACCATCACAGGCCCCTCACTCAGGCCGCACCACACCCCAAGGGAAATCCCCTCCCCGATCCAGGACACCCTTAAGGGAAAACCAGTTGGTCCCCACCCATGCACCAGGCCTCTATCTTATCTAATAAAAGAATAATATGCAGATTGACCATCACTCCAACACACTAGATGGCTGTCGCCATATGGTCAAAGATTCTGCCCCCATGTGGACACATGATGGCCACCACAAGATGGGCAGCATGGCCAAAACCGGCTTGGCTCAATGGATAGAGCGTCGGCTTGGGGACTGAAAGGTCCCGGGTTCGATTCCGGTCAAGGGCATGTACCTTGGTTGCGGGCATATCCCCAGTAGGGGTGTGCAAGAGGCAGCTGATCGATGACTCTCTCTCATCAATGTTTCTAACTCTCTATCTCCCTTCCTCTCTGTACAAAATCAATAAAATATATATTAAAAAAAAAAAAAAAAGATGGGCAGCATGGAAGGGCAGTTGAGAGGGACCAGATCTGTAAGAGAAGGCAGTTGGAGGAGATCAACCCTGCAAGGGAGGGCAATTAGGGGTGACTAGGCCTGCAGAGGAGGGAAGTTGAGGGCAAACAGGCTGGTAGGGGAGCAGTTAGACATCAATAAGGCTGGCAGGGGAGTGGTTAGGGGGTGATCAGTCTGGCAGGCAAAAGCGGTTAGGGCCAATCAGGAAGGCAGGCAGGTGAGCAGTTGGGAACCAGCAGTCCTGATTGTGAGAGGGATGTCCGACTGCCCAGTTAGATCCCATCCCACCTAAACGGGATTGGGTCTAAACGGGCAGTTGAATATCCCTCCAGGGGTCCCAGATTAGAGAGGGTGCAGGCTGGGCTGAGGGACAGCTCCCCACCCTGTGCTCGAATTTCATTCACTGGGCCTCTAGTATTATAGTAATACATTTTATTATTCTACTTTCTATTTAAGACATATTGAAATGTGGCTATGTCACCTAGGACTGGATTGTTTATTTTATTTCATTTCAATTAATTAAATTTATGTTTTGCCACTTGAGGTCATGGCTGTTGTATTGGACAGTACTGTTCTAGAATCATGAACTTTCCTTCAGATGTTCTGGCTGAGAACCCACTTCTGAAACAGAGAGCTATCCAAAACGCATTTACCTGCTGCGAGTGTTTGGTGCTGGAATTGCTTCCTGGTCAGCCTCCGTCCTCTTCTTTCCACTTCGATCCTCCATCCTGGCCACTGGTTTCAAAGCACCCACCTGTTTCTGCTCCTCCACAGCTCCTGTTTGGTCTTGCGAAGTGGGTGCCATCCCTGTGGCTCCTCATGCTAGGTGCTGCCTACCCTTTGTGTGCATTCTTGTGCCATCCTGAGCAGTTTCATCCCGTTAGCTCTTTTGGTTTCCAGTTCCCTCCCTGAAAGCCCCAGCATCACTTCTTATTTAGGTTCTTTTTAGTAATTCAGCTTACTAATTAGTTTTCTTATATCTCTGGGGAAACCGTGCCCCATCACTGAGCCATTTGGAGTCTGTTTTTGAGATTTTATCCATTGAGCCATATTTAGTTGTTCTCTCT